CCCTCGCAGAGTTTTCTCCATTACCTCCCCTGCAGGCATATAAATAGTGGGGCCTAAAGAAATGTAAAACTGTTAGACTTACGCCACGAAGTTTACTCCACGAAAGTCGTATGTATCTAAGTGTAGTGGGTAGGCTGGTGGTCAATGTTTTCTCCACGCCTCACCGAAGGTTGGGTTTCGATTCCCCTACCAGGAATTTTGATGTACACATATAAGTGAGAAACCCTTTTTGCACATCTGGAAAAAATCTCAACTAAATGATGGCTCAATTGTACGGATTTGGGCTATAATGCTTGATCTCCGCTTTGGAATCCCTAAGAAATAGTCACGATACCAGTTGGTGCCCCATCTGTGGCATCCGTCATAAACACATGCAAAGGCTGGTCAATTGTTCACCATTCATGGTGTTCACCGCCCTGATACCTCTGGACTATCGCTACCAGCGGCGCGTTTCATCCACCGACGCCTTCTGTATCTAAATGGAGATGATCCCTGGAAACTTTCAACAACTCTTTCAACACTGGAGCGGTTGGACTGCCTCTGTGGTGTAGTGGTTAAAGCGTCCACCCGGAGCGGAAGGTCGTGGGTTCGATCCCCGGCCGCGTCATACCAAAGACGCCAAAATATGGTACTTGTTGGTCCCTGCCTGACGCTCGACATTAATGGGTACAGCAAGTACTGATTAAACTTATAATGATCTCGAGGTAAGTATAGCCAATATTGCCTGAGTGGGGGTATTCATTCTTTACTGCATGCTTGGTATCTCAGCGAGCTAGCACTATAAAACCAGCTTAAGTCTGGGCTGCAGTACAAGCAGCCACGGGGCGGTGGGGTAGCCTAGTGGTTAAAGCGTTGGCTCGTCACGCCAAAGACCAGGTTCGATTCCCCACATGGGCACAATGTGTTAAGCCCATTTCTGGTGTCCCCGCCGTGATATTGCTGGAATATTGCTAAAGCGGCGTAAAACTGAACTCAGTCAGTCAGTACAAGCAGCCACACATACGCATGCTCGTCGTCATGTGAGCGAAATATTCTGAGAGTACGACGTTAAACCTCACCTCGCATCGCATCGCATCGCATCGCATCGCATCGCATCGCATCGCATCGCATCACCTCACCTCACCTCACCTCCACCTCACCTCACCTCACCTCACCTCACCCGGGTGGTTGGGTAGCCGAATGGTCCAAAGCATTCGAGTTCTAATTCTCACATTGGTACCACATGAAGACCATATCTGGTGTTTCAATCCGTGCTGTTGCGATGTAATGGCTAAAGCGTCACACTCACACGTAACGCTGCAGCCTCGCTCGGGTTCATAATGCTGCAAGATATTACAGGGTGTAGGGGTTATCGTGTTGTGAAATCTATCCTTTGAGTAATGTACGCCCATTGTTCGGTTGTTTTTGCCTGTCTGCGCAAGGAATCAGACCACAAGGAAACCTTTATCCCAGTGAACTGCAGCTGATATCGACCGAACATGACATGGTTCGTTGGTGCTGTGATATCAGTCCGTAAATGACACAAACCAACAACAAAGAAATGTGTTGTAATTAACAACTGTATTCTAAAATTAAGTGAGATCACAAAAGAATACAGACCAGTACAATGGTTTTAGTATGGCAGTACAAAATTGTGTGACAGTACATATATAACAATGGCAGTATAATATCAGAGCAGTAATTACAGTAATAAAGACAATGGTTTAATATTCATTACAGTAATCCAACACACTAGGGCCAGCAGGGTGTTATGATCATCATATACAACACTGGTCTTGTTGTGGCTTGAGATGGAATTTGATAGGTTAACTCCCCTTAACACCCAAGCTGAAGTCCTGAAATTTCCTTACAGTTCCCTGTGTTCCCGAAGCTGCCTGTAAGGTTGGAGCACAAGTCACAATACAGCACACCACTGCCCCTCACCGTATACAATGTATTACACCTGAACACGACACATGATGCTCATGAGAATATTTTTATGGATATCGTTGAGAAATCTACTGCTTGTAAGCTTGCCCTACGTGATCATATAGAAACATTTTACAAAGTGTTCCATAAATAATCGCAGTGGTCGTGAAGAAAATTGTTTGCAAGGAAGCATCTACTTTCAGCTTTAGTTTTAGAGAAATGCATTAATGTGAATGAAAATTAACAGAATACGAAATGGCACTGAATATATTGATCGATGCCCTTTAACCTTCTTCACACTGTCACCTGGCGTGAGGTGACGAATAATGGAGTACTCGTCCTGGCTATATCGCTGGCTCACAGAGATACAATACTATGAATGCCCGTATCAGATTCACTTCACCCTATTTTTGTTATTGATTTGCTGTAAATCTAAATGTTGGTTTCGTACTTGACGATTCAGATTATTACAATTTTGCTATTATATCGTTTTGTTATTTACACCCGTACATACACGTAAATCTAATTAGAAATGAAAAGTTTACCATCAGTGCTAATACGAAATGTAACAATTTACCATGTCTGTAAGGTTTGAAATGATATACATACAACAGATGGATAGATGGAGACATTAATATCTGTTACAGAGCAGTGAGATAGCCAAGTCGTTTAGGCGTTTGCTCGTCACGCGTAAAATCCGGCTTCGACTGGACACAGGCATTATCTTCCAATTGACAGACAGTCGATTGACAGACACTGAACTAGAACACTATTATAGAATATTTCTATTAAAAAAGTATCTACTGGAAGCTACTGTGCTACCATTATACATTGATATTTGAAAGATATTATGTCATTCTTGTTATCAAATGAATATGTACTTGGTCAGGCGCAATTTTTTCGTGTAAGCCCGATAGGTTGAAAAGCTATATATTTAGATAGTATTGAGGGTTTGCCCAACCTTTTCAACAACAATCATGTGTAAGCCCGGGCTTTTTTTTACAATGGCAGCTAAACCCCTGTTGGTATCAGATATCTTATGTTTTTATTAGGACTATTCCATTACAATGTGTAAGTAACAGGTAGTAGCTAATCCGTTCATTGAATCTAAATGTTGTTGTTTTAAGGCGTCTGCGAACTGCCTGTCTGCGTAACAGGAGGATACCGACACAATCAGTGAAGTCTATTTCCGGTGACAACGCGAAAGGTTGGAATAGTACTCAACATGGCGTAAACTGCCATTACTTCACCTACTACTATCACTGTCTCTGATCGTGACAACTCTGAAAAGTATAAGTTTACACTTAGAAATGCACTTGTCAAATGACAAATGTAACATTTGCTATATCTGACCACTGTCTAAATGGCCTTGAGTATTTATAACAGTAAGGGTGAACCGAACCTGAGATGACGTTCCAATAGGCTCAGGGGGGCGCTACCACAGAACTGCTGCGACAAAGATGACCAGCATAAACCGTTCATATTCTTGTCATCCATATATGTGATAGATTCATAAATTCACTAAAATTATTGGCATTACAAGACATTGTCTGTTTACTGATGTTTCCCGTTTACGTATGTACTCAAACCTTAACCTAGAACCTCACTGAAAGAATCGATATTCTAATTGTATAATGGTTTAAACAGAGTATGGTCGCGATTGACTGATAACTATAATACCCTTTAAAACTAGATATGCATGCATATTCACATGCTTGAAATTAATCCTCTTTACCTGCATTGATTGTATCGGTATCCATTGTTGTCATTTGACAAGGTAGCGCACCATTGCTTTCGCTTTACTTCCTCTTACCTGACATACGTTCCCCCAGGACACTGCACAGTTCAACTACGTATACTTTGATCAGTTTCATTACTTGTTATGAGTATGAGGTGGACATCATAAGTCTATGATACCAATAGCATATTCGCTCACCTCTATGATTAATTTACAGCTATGACGTGAAGAAACACCCCATTCAGCCAGACTGTAGGACAGCGACTTGTAAATAACTACGCAATCTACGCAATTGTGATTCGATGACATGTGCCAAACATGTATCAGCGAGCCTGACCACCCGATCCCGTTAGTCACTAAGGGTGGGTTGCTGAAGATCTTCACGGGTTCAAAATACATGAAATCAATTATATTGATACTCTGAGATATATAGTACAGTCAATGTGAAAAATAAGGCAATTACCAAATTATCATAACTAAACTAGGATATATATTGATGTGGTCTATATTTAAATTTCAGATATTGATAGCGGCCACAAATCTTGACCTGGTTTCAAACCAAACCTTTGAATAAGAAATGTCCTAATCAACCCCAAACTATATTCTTTAATTATGAATAGGAAGTTTACAAATCTTCAATAAACAAGGGAAATGCAGGCTATATAATATTGTATATATTGTAGTATATATAATATATAATATCATTTTTTAAGACATAAATTCGCAAATTTAAATTTTCCACTCAAAACTAAGTGATATGATACCACAATTTCACACTTGAAATGAACTGTTTTGAAACACTTATTTGTGGCCACCGAAACTATTTGAGTGTTAATTTATATTTATATGTGGACAGTGTTCTGTGGAAACAACTTTATTATGTCCGACACCATCTAATAAAATTAGATATTTGACATGATGAATGTCTTCGTCCATGTTACAGTCCCATCAGAGAGTATGTGGAGATTTGGTGCTTCCCACAAGAGTGAGTGCGTTTTGTTTTATGCCTCACTCAGCAATAATCCAGCTATATGGCGGCTGTCTGTAAATAATTGAGTCTGGACTAGACAATCCAGTGATCAAGAGCACGAGCATCGATCGATTGGGAACCGATGACATGAGTCCACAAAGTCAGCGAGCCTGACCACCCGATCCCGTTAGTCGCCTCTTACGACAAGCATAGGTTACTGAAGATCAATATTCTAATCCGGACCTTCACGGGTGCTTCCCACAAGAGCGAGATTGACATGGATCTGCTCACTATTCATTTTGGCTTCAATCATGGTGTTCGTACATCAAACCAATTTTCCTTTTTACTCTGTCAAAAACAAATAAGCGTGGAACGTGTAAAAGGTCAATTTGTACGCAGTGCTTTATGTGTACATAAATTTGACAGTGGTAATGTCCAGAATACGTTCAACAAGTTGAACACACAAGTATGTTTTAAGAAAACAAAACTTAGGAATTGATGAAAGATGTGTCTATTTACGTCACACCCATACCGATATGTACCCTCCTGTAACAAAGATCCAGATTAAGTATGGAAGGGATATGAGTGAGAGAGTGGAATCAAGATTCATGTTATGACAATGCGTGTAAGCTCATTCATGGACGAAAAGAAGAAGTGATGAATGTGTCAGACAATGAAAACCGTACGATCATTGATATGATGCTGATAGACCGAAACATAATCGGGCGAGTCGGGCTTCGAGCCCACGATTATAGTTGTTCTGTCGTACCAGACAAAAGACCTTACAAGAGACGCATTTCTGCACAACGAATTGCAAGACCTCAGACGACAGGGTCAACCGTGTACATTTTACAAGGAAGATTACTCACAGAGCTTCTGTGTATCGAAAAAGCAATAGTGTATATTCCCTGAACATAGATCGAACATAGATCATGATTAAAACCATGAACATCCTAATCCATACGTTACATAGTCACATGTCTGTAGTTGATAACTTGATGTCAAGAAAACTTAATCAATAAATTCTATAGCTTTGTTTTCGGGGATGGCTTGTTAACTTTTGCATAAATAGCGGCAGGGTCTATCGGAGGGGGCGACTTGTCTTTGGAAACATTTTCAGGGTCAGTGTGAACTGACTCTTTAGCAATGTTTGTGGCTTCCAACGACTTCTTTGGCTTGATCACAACTGCGTACATGTCAGGTGGTCCGTCTCGGTGTTCATCAGGCGTTTCGTCTTGCGGCGCAGTACTACCAGTTGTTCCGCAATGCTGGTCAGCGACAGTGGACTTACCGTTGTGCTGATCTACAGTAGCAGGTGTTATGTCGGATGTCAGTCCTGGATGAAGTTTACCTTCAACTGTTGGGTTGTTGACCTGCTGTTCAACAGTGGTAAGCGGCTTAGTCGGTTGTGCGTTATTCATATCTGCTGATGATTCGTACAGACTGTTTGTGACTGTGATGACCTCGGTTGGACCTTTGCTTTCTTCTTGCAATTGTTTGTCATCTTCTTGTTTGTCAACACGGCGACCCCTGGATGAAATTATATACGCATCATATACTGATATTGCCTTGACCATTAGTTCATGGCAGTTGCATCGTGACTCGAAAGCACCATTGTGCTAAACGTAAACTAAAGCAGTTGAGACAATGGTGCGAGTTTTCTGAACTATGAATTTTATTTTATTTTCTATTTGTGGTAATGCATTACCTTGAACGCATGAAACCTACTTGCGGTCAGACATTGCCATGTACCCTAAACCACATGAAACCTCCTCCGTCGTGTTGTGGTTAGAAGTTTGCGGGATCGATCCCCGGTCGCGTCATACCAAAAGACGTTAAAATATGGTACTTGTGGGTACTTGCCGGCGCTCAGTAATAATGGGTACAACAGGGACTGGTCGGCTCGGAGTCAGTATAATGTGTCTGAGTGGGGTATTCATGCTCAAATGCGGTATGGTACCTCAGTGAGCTGGCACTATAAAAATAGCTTAGGTCTGGGCTAGTACAAGCGGCCACACATACACACACATGCACGTCATCATATGATCGAAATATTCTTAAGTACGACGTTACAACCCATTTCATCTCATCCTTAACGACATGGAACCGTCTTGCGGTAATAGAGCGCGATGCGAACACAACTATATCAAGCCAACACAATGCCTCCTCTGAAACTACAGTAACACACTGCCGCAAAGCACATGAAGCCTACTTGTTGTAAGAGGGTTCCATGGGAAGACAACCACATGACGCCTACTTCCTAGCAATTAAATAACGGAAACACTTATCATTCAACAAATACCTTATTACTACCTATAAAAGAAGCACTTACCTACCTTCGGTGGCACACTACCTATAACAGAAGCACTTACCTACATGTGGTGACAGACAACCTATAACAGAACCACTGGCCAACCTGCAGTGATATACTACCAAAAACAGAACCACTGACGTACCCGCAGTAATACACTACCTATAACAGAACCAGTGACCTACTTGTTGTAAGAGGGTTCTATGGGAAGAAAACCACATGACGCCTACTTCCTAGGACTTAAATAACGGAATCACTTATCATTCAACAAATACCTTATAACTACCTATGAAAGAAGCACTTACCTACCTCCAATGACACACTACCTATAAAAGAACCACTGGCCAACCTGCAGTGATATACTACCAAAAACAGAACCACTTACCGACCTGCACTAACACACCACCTATGACAGAATCACTGACCTACCTGTCGTGATACACTACCTATAAAAGAACCACTGACCTACATGACTATAACAGAACTACTGACATACCTGCAGTAACACACTACCTATAACAGAACCACTGCCCTACATGTGGTGATGCACTGCCTATAACAGAACCACTGACCTACTTTCGGTAACACGCTACCTATAAAAAGAACCACCCGACTACCTGCAGTTACACACTACCTGTAGTAACACAGAACCACTGACCTACCTGCGGTGTAACACAGCCTGTAACATAACCACTGACCCACCTGCGGTGACACACAGCCTGTAACAGAACCACTGACCTACATGCGCTAACGCACTGCCTATAACAGAACCATTGCCCTACCTGCAGTGGCACACTACCTATAAAAGAACCGCTGACCTACCTTCATTAACACACTACCTATAACAGAACCACTGACCTACCTGCAGTAACACACTACCTATAACAGAGCCACTGACCTACCTGCTGTAACACACAACCTATAACCGAGCCACTGACCTACCTGCTGTAACACAGTATCACAACGATGCCTACGACAAGGAGAAGTAGGAGTCCACCACCGACACCACCGGCAACAGCGGCCACTGAAACACATAGATATTGTTTTAACTCATATGTAACTGGCGGCTAATTTCAATCGTGGTTTGCGGCAATAGGCCTGAGTGCCCATTTCACTGACACAAATGCCATGCAAACCATCAGCAAGCGAACAAAATGTGAATTGTGGATCACTTCGTTACATAAGGACCAACAGCTGTGATCTGGTTCATTAATGATTCAAGGTAATCGCCGCTGGGATTATCACATATATCGTTAATGTCTTTATTTTGTTTATTTAGACTCCACTAAACAAATGATAGGACTCGGGTGACACATTTTCTATGACATTTTCCCCAATATTTATGTTTTCAAATATGTACATAAATATGATTGAGCCGTCAATACTTCTAGATACAAGCAACTGGCTCCTTTCACGAAGCAACCTTTTCTAAGGGTAACCTTAACTCCCATTCTTTAACATTGCACTGAGGTTACCTTAGTGACTTACGATCACATTAGTGCTTTGTGAAAGGAGGCCCATATCTTCCTGCGAGCTAGTGTATAAGGTTATCTGTCTTCGTAAATATAAAGCAAATTCGCACAAATGATAATTTACAATAATGCACAAATCAGAAAACTGTATCTGTTGTATACAAAGAATGTTATGCACTGATATGGTAATGATTTGTGAAAACACATGGTGGCATATCACATTTCATTAAGTACATGTATGTTACAGTTTTACGTCCTATGAGGTACGTTTACTGGAGATGTTCATACCGGGGAAAGACGTTTGTTCCAATGTTGTGCCAGGTTTACTGTCATCGGCAGAAGATTTAGTGTTTGTGACGGGTGAAGTTGTTCGGCGTTCTGACGATGACACTGTTGGCGCCATAGTGGTAGACGTCGACACAGTGGTAAGTGTCGACGTAGTCAAAGGTTTATTTGAACTAGGTGTTGATGTGGAAGATGATGTGAAGTTATCGGTATGAAGTGGGGATGTTTTTGCAGGTAACGCTGTAGTCGTCGATATTGATGAAGCAATGAAGTTAACCGTTGTTGTTTGCGCTGCCGTTGTAATTGATTGAGACGGTTGTGTCGTGGTCGTTATAGGAAGAGGGCATTCTGTAGATATGTTGGCCGCTGCGGATAGAAGGGAAATACTGTCAGAGGCTATATGTATATTTTCAATAGATTTCATTAAATTAATAAGATATAATAATAATTGTTATTTGTGATAACTATTTTATTCAAGTGAACGATGCTGCAAATATGAGCCGCTAAACTGAACTGTACTGCAAATGGGATAGTGTAGGTTCTTGTTTATTGTACCCGTGAAGGTCCAGGTTACAATTGGCCTTCAGTAACCCATGCTTGTCGTAAGAGGCGATTAACGGGATCGGGTGCTCAGACTCGCTGGCTTGGTTGACACATGTCATCGGTTCCCATTGCGCAGATCGATGCTCATATTGTCTGGCCCAGACTCGATTATTTACAGACTGTCGCCATATAGCTGGAAATTTTGCTGAGTGCGGCATAAAACTAAATTCACCCATTCACTCGTGTATACTAGTATTTCATCTGAAATGACGTGACCTCATGCCAGTTAATTTAATAATGTGCTTATATGTAGAGGCGGGTGCCACTATTCACAAAATCATTTACCGATTTAGCGCTATGTTTCAACTGCAATGAAACACTTGTTACACGTGATATTTACGTTGTTATGACCTGCCCTATGTACGGTTATAGTTGAAGTGAAAACATACCTGCTGCGGTTATCTCTATTTCTACACAAAACCTGACATCTGGAGAGTTGAAGGCATAGGAGACCACATTGGTACCTTGATACATAAGTGCAGGTGTCGTGGACGTCCATCCACAGTCTCTCCTTGAACCATCAACCAGTGTCAGTGTACCTCCACAGGTTGTTCCATTGTTAGTCATGCTGACTGGAGTAAAATACACTGTCGCTGCAGCACCTGTGATAGTCAGGTTACAGTCACACCGCTGTACACCGCCTGCTGGAGACCCGCGTAGGTAGAAGTGACGGTCTGTGGTTGAGCCTCCTTTACACATCTCTACAACTGCGAAATATTCAAGGGCAGCTTTAAACATTACAAGGTTTTATAGTGATATTAACAGACGTGCAAGAGAAATGTTTCCAGTTGGCATAAGTACGTCCACAAAACTAATTGATTAACACAACAGGCACAACATGTTGTAAACTATACCTTCCAAAACGCCTTACAAAGAAAAGAAACAGTCATCGATGCTTGTTTTAGGTAGCAGACGATTCTTTTACAGATGACAAAATGCCATTATTCATTGGTTAACTTTATAAATGTCCTTCTTAGATATTAGAATGTGCAGTAATTCATACGTGAAGGTTTACGTCATACCTTTTAATGCAGAGTTTCCCCCACAGGAGCTCCCTAAAATGAAAAGAAAGTTTATCATTGTGTTATATGTCAATCCATATGACGTGGCCAGTAAGATAGCACTAAATATGTCTGTTGAAAGCGGGTTGCAAGAAGCAAGCTATATCATAGGTCCACGGTCTTAGGTATTTACCTGTACCTATACTCTCCCAAAATAGAAACGCAAAGGTGATTTTCTTAGTTAAATTGCTGCATATTTCGACGAACATGTTTTACAAAGTAACATAGTTAACAAATGTTACTTCAAAGTTTGTTGTTACTGTTCTATTTGATTATAATGCTCAACCACACCGTCTTATATTTTGTCAACATTTGAAAAGGAATTTTAGAATTTCATAATGTTCCATTTTTCATAACTGGACTCGAATATTCGTTATTCGAAATACCTCCAAAGGATGGAAAGCGACTGGAGATTTAACGCCCATCACAGCACAATTTCAAGAGACAATGTTTTTAGACTGGTACCTACGATGCAATTCCACTAAGTTATCGCCCAACGTCTGGCCCACCAATAATTGTTAAGGATCACAGCTGTAGCTCACGTTCACCCGGGTCTTCCATCCATGCTATCGGACCGTTACAAGGGCAGACACCGCCTTCAACGTTTCCAGCGGCGTTGGGTGTTTGCACAAGACGTAGTATGTGAGATTGGACTTTGAGTCAGATGTCATTTTGTTATGATATATTTTTTTTATGTCGACACCGGCGTTCATTCGTTCAATGGCGTGCTAACATTCAGTCATGGAAGCTGAGACACTGGTTCCCGAAGAATTTGGTTCATTGAGGATTCTCGTTTATTACGAAGACATGAAGATTTTGGCAAAACTGTGTTGTTGAAATCGTTAATTGTTCAAGATTTTCAAGTTGAAACAAACTGTTAACCCAGATATACAATATACGTATACGAATTCAGTGTGACAACAACCAACAGGAAAGAAATATTAATATATTTTATATTATATATAAATTTTGTATTCTAAAATTAACTAGAAATTCGAAACAAATTACAATATAACATGCAGTACAAAATTCAATGGCAGTACTAAATACATAGTAGTTGTAATAGCAACAATGGCAGTGACAACATCCGACTAGAATTCGAAGCAACACTGGTAAAGCTTCCAAATGACTCTAGACTGGGTATCCAAAGTGAAAGTATGATCTTTAGCAAACCGCTGGTCTTGATGTAATGTGATGCCCCTAAAATCTTCAAGAACTTTCAAAATCATGCTGGATATATTTATGCTGTTTAGACCGTTGATTCTAGTCCCTTGACCCCTAAAGCATCACAACATAGCAGCAGCACACAACACTGGTAGTCGCGCCGCCCCACAAACATACGTAGTGTGTGGTCCCTTAGTGTTTGACGTTTTGAAGAGTATATACGTAGAGGCGTGATCATGTTCTAATTATAATAACATTCAAAACGATGGTTCAGTGTGCCTCAATCGGGCTGTAAATAAATAGAAAAAGAGACAGGTTGCAACCTACATCAATCATTCACCATTAAAGCAATAACCAGATCTCTTAGAATGTATTAACGATTTAAACCCAAATACCAATACCTTAGTGGTAACTGACGTAGTATACTCCCAATGCCTTTACCTTGTGTGCCTTTACCTTAACCCCTGTGTGCTGTACATCCTGCATTTAAGGTTGGATTGATGTGCACGAATGCAGTTGCCTGGCTTACATTATCTATGGACAAACAGCATCTGGCATCATGTTACAAAAGATAATAACGGCACATTACCTGTCCTGATCACACATGTTAGATGAAACAATCCAAGTATGATACGTAGAGAGATCATCCTGGCCACATATCTGTACTGAAATACAACGTGTATGTCGGAACAACTATCTTCATCTACTTCCTGGTTGGTGGGCTTCGTACAGGCCGGCCTCACACGGATACAACTTGAGATAGATTGCACTGTAACCAGTCACCCGGAAACATTGTCATGGTATGTAAGCGCATCTAGTTTCAACAAGACAAACACTGCCTTTATATCCAACGAAAGCAATAATGTCAACAATGTGATCGTCGACATGTTTTGTCGACTTCTGGTAGTCGTGTCCTATTTTCATCGTGTAGCTGTCCTGTAAATTTGAAGATTACGTATATTATCGACACTGATGTTCTTTGTTCATACCAAAGCACAACATTCATTGTGTTCTTCCATTATCAATATTTTATATCGTTGTTTACTGTACATATGTGATCATGCTCATTAATTCAATGTCGACAAATATTTGTAAACTTCGCGTTTAAACTGATTTACATTGAACACATATTTTTCTGACAGTGTAGGGCAGTTTATAACTTAGTTTGCCACTCAATCGAGCACTTGTCGTCTTCTGCATCCATTTCTCTAAATATATATTATTATGTGATGTCAAATCGGTGAGTTTGTGAGTGAGTGTCTTCGGCGTGACCACCCAACGCTTTTAGCACTAGGCTACCCCACCGCCCCTGTGTGTCAAAGTGACATATTTCATCTTCATTGGACTTGATATCTCATAATGCTAAATTTCGTTCCTCGTGTCTGTATGCTAGGTGTATTTATGTCACTATCATTTACCTGTTGATATTTCCTTCTCCACGCAGATTACATACATGCAACTGCACTGACCACTTTTGTGTTTAATTGACTGTAAAACTAAACAATTCCCAGCCAAACCTTCTACGCCACTTTCAATTTACCTTTTTACCTGAACACCAAGCAAAAGCGTTCAACCACTGAAATGGAGTATGAAAATATCCTGCTTGCAAGTTCGGATTATTCAGTTGTCTTCTTCTGTTCATGACTGTTCTGCTCTATACACGTTAAACTCGTAGTTATGTAAGTTCACGATTTTTTGCAGTGTTTCAGCCTCATGTTTCAGACAAACACTTAAGGAAATATAATTTTACATTGAAGTCGAATAGAAGAACATTTACTTCTGTATATTTTGTGAAACTGAAAATGTTACCATTTCAATATTGGTGAAAAGGTTACATACCTTTAAGGCAAGTATCAACTGAGGAATCTTTGTAATCTTCTGACTGACGACGTTCGTCGTGTACAGCTTAGATCAACATAAGCAATACCATAACACATCTGGTCTATTCGGTATGATTTGTTGAGCTTTAGATGAAAAGGGGAAACTTATATCCATTACATAATATGTGGGAACCTAATCAGATATAGGTCGCCTAGATGTCTGTCTAGCTCCTTATAAAGAAGATAGAATGGTGAGTGAGTGAGTTGGATTTTACGCCGCATTTAGCAACATGCCAGCTTCAGACATTGTATCAATATGTGGAATCCCAACCCGAAAATTCGGTGTACCGAGCGAACGCTATAACCACTAGGGACCCGTGAAGGTCAAGGTTAGAATATTGATCTTCATTAACCCATGCTTGTCGTAAGAGGCGACTAACGGGATTAGGTGGTCAGGCTCGCTGACTTGGTTGACACATGTCATCGGTTCCCAATTACGCAGATCGATGCTCATGCTGTTGATCACTTGATTGTCTGGTCCAGACTCGATTATTTACTGACCGCCGCCATATAGCAGGAATATTGCTGAGTGCGGCGTAAAACTCAACCCACCCACCCACTATAACCACTTGGATACCACACCTCCCCAGATAGAACAGTGACTGAGCATGTTAACCTGTTGCAATATTCCATAGATCACGGAGCACACCAGATATTGACAACTTGAAAACATGTAAGTCCAAGGAACAGATAAGAGTGACAACTTGAAAACATCCTTCAAGGACTGTATAAGAGTCCAAGTGGGTTAATGAATTATGGTTGTCTATTTCTGAAAACGATTATCAAATACAGACAACACTTTCTGCAGGTGCACAACTGACGAGGCATTCGCATACGATCGCAACCATAACAAAACGTTACCGCTAAAACATTCCAGTTCTATCACTCAAGCTGAAAAAACGCTTCCCTCCCTCATAAAGCGGACAAGCTCTGAAATAACTACGATATTGTTCTAGCCTGCCTCACAGTCCCTAAACCGCAATATTTTCTCTTCACCCAGCCTTTCTGCAAGACCAAAGCTCCAACTATAGCAAGTCTATATTACCTCAGATTCTGAATCTCCCATCTCAGTTAGGCCAGGAGCCAGGAGCTGAAAATTCACATATTAGTACCACTCAGGGGCCTCTTTTCAAATTAAAACGCTCACTCCGAGTTATTTGTTTCAATCAAAATTATTTTCCGAGTCGAAGCGTCAGTCTAATTCTGTTCAAGCGGTGTTAAACAGTATTCATTCTTTCATGAAACGATGGCAAATGAAAGTTGCGATATCAGTTGCGATGTCTATGCATTCGTATGTAGTACAACAGCCTTCAGGTAATCGGTAACCTTTTTCAATCGCAGACGTGATTATTAATTTATTTCTATATTTGGATGTACAACGGGGTTTAATTCACTCGCAGGGTTCAGTTGTAAATATATTTGAATTAGCCATCTTAATCAATATTGAATGCATGGCAGTAATAAATAGTTACTGTATCATCCCAATGCAAACCGGCATGGGGTAACTTCAAAAGAATATGACGAACATTTGTTTTGAGTTGAAATATACTATATTTTCAATATTTATACGTCAACGAAATAACCAAACGTGACCCCGAGTCGATTTGAAAGGTCGTAGGAGACCGGAAATAGAAGAACAGAGAGTACATGTAAGTAGAACATGACATGAACATGTGTTGGTATGTGAATACACAATGCCATTTAGGAAGTAGTCAGAAGTAACAGATGTGACACAACACTTTCGCAGTAGGGGTTCAAAATTGCGTATTAGACTCAACTCAAAAAGTACTTAAATTGGTACTTCACTGAAAAAGTGTAATTCCTAATATAGTATGTATATTTGAGTAATTTCTTAACGGCATCGTGTATTCGCAGCTTTTGGCAATGGGAGCCACGCCAATTGTCACTTATCAAATAGTACATGATCTCGAGTACCAGTTGTCAGACTTCCATTTTTGTGGAAGCCGCAGTCGCTGAGGGAGTTAGATCGTTGACTGAAGACGCTGGAGATAAGGTGCCTGACTCTGAATGTGGGTTAAGATCCAAAACGTACTAGAATAAGTTCTTTACTGGGAAAGTGTCACCACAGCGATAACATATTTTACTCATATTGCGTTATCTAAATGTTATGGTTTTGGTTAATCCTGCCATTTTTGCTTGTTTGTAAGAACGACAGGGCGAAATTGTCCTCTCCAGAATTTCATTTGATCATAGCTGTCATTATGTGGTGATGACGTTACTCACATGTACCGACATATTTTCATCTGTTTCGTTGTTGATTATGTACAAGCCAGTCTGACGGAGATATCATGTCTAACAATTGATATAAAATGAACTCATAAAATTAATCCAGTGAACCGAAAAGTGAAGGTTACGCATATACCTCTCACATTCACCGACGACAATTATATCAGCATCTCGATCGTCACAAAGCTGTCCTGATCTTTGACCGCCATGCCTCACCTTTCCCTTTTCGTCGAAAGATTCATATAGCCATCGAGAGTGTTGTTCAGTGTTCGTACCATGAACATAACATCAAAAACCTAATATGTATTCTTTCGATTTGTATTTATTACAGGATTATCTTGCAAATTATGCTCTTGGTTTACTGTTTGATCGGTCATGCGTTCTGAGTTTGTGTTTACACAAATTGTAATAATAACGTCACTTGTGTTTGCTAAATGTGTTATCACTGCAAGTCTATTTTTGGACCTTGTATGTCCATTAATCAGGTAATGAGATCTTGCAAGCGTCGTGTCAGTTCATATATTATGTCGTTATGCGTTTAATGTCACGTTTTCGTGTCAAAACAGGATTTGAATAGTCACGAGTTCACTATATGAATTCCCTGTTGCTTTACAAATACCAGTGTATTCCATCGCACAGAGGAAAATAATCTTTGTAACATGTGAACCGAAAAACGCTGCACTTGCCGTCATCAACGTCACATCTACCCCTTCAAAATGAATGTTTTTCGACTACAGACTGATGCTGTCATTGAAGTCAATGTAAAGCGCGGTCCGGTCATTTCATTACACACACACACACACACACACACACACACACACACACACACACACACACACACACACACACACACACACACACACACACACACACACACACACACACACACACACACACACACACACACACCGTATAAGTTGTTACTGATTACCTTAATAGTATAGATTCGTATTTTATTAAAGTGATCGCCCCGCAAATATATAAGGGATCCTACTTTCCTAACAAAAATATGTAATATATATTAGAATGATGCTGTTTTTCGATAACTGTAACTTTCAAACACAATTTGATCTGGGATCACTGATACTCAATCTGTGTACTCAGAAAATGCCCAATGTGAGTATGTTCCCATTCTTTTAATCTCCACGAAGGTTCAGAGTTGGAAGTGGTCCACAGCAAGCTGCACGTATCTTATGCAATGTCACATATTATGGAGTTAAAATGTGTACACATGTACATGGAGACTCAATAGCACACCACTCATGATTTACATGCATAAACGTGTGTGGGGGTACTCAGCGTGAGCTTTCAGATTTGAAAACTAACAGGTATCGAATTGAACGTACAATGAACACGCACCAGGTTAATCTCCAGTCTACCAGAACTCAATAACAAAACAAACACTTTGTCACTGGCCATGGCAGAAATGATTATTCATGTGGAATGGCCTGAGTCTAATATTTCCAGAAGCCTGAAAGAGTGTACTGAGGGATCAGTGAAGATCTGTGTAATCTGCCCACATGTTTGCTTTATATACCCAAGTCATAATTTTCGCCACAACACTTAAACCTCTTTTATGACACACAATAAAACACGACGGCAGATATCTTGAAATATGAGCATTAT